AGTCCAGGCTGGCCTCGAACTCACAGAGATCCACCTGGCTCTGCCTCCCGAGTGCTGGGATTAAAGGCGTGCGCCACCACCGCCCGGCACCCCATTCCTTTCTTAATGGTACCTAAAATCATGGTGCATCAATGGCTGATTTGATTTTATTTTAAATGGAAATGATATGCACATACACAATGGGCGTGGGTGCTGGGGAATGAACCAACCTCGTAAAGCTGCCTTGGAAAAGCCAGCTGCTCTCACTGCTGTCATGGGTCGAGCAACTCCATCCTTCAAAGAACAAGAATCACTTAAAACTTATTCTTGAATAAGAACTATACCTATTGACAATTTTGCATATAACACACATCCTACTTTAGTCCTGATTTTTTAAAAAACGATTTACTAATTTTATTTTTTTTCTGTAAATTGTTGCTTTGCTTACACATATATCTGTGTGAGGGTGTTGGATCCCCTGGAACTGAAGTTACAGACATTTGTGAGCTGCCCTGAGGGTGCTAGGAATTGAACCCGGGTCCTATGGAAGAGCGTCCAGTGCTCTTAACCACTGAGCCATTTCTCCAGCCCATTTAGTCCTGATTTTTAATAGCCATTTCCTCATGCCTTACTTCTGCATCCTCATGCAGCAACCCTGTCTCTCTTTGCCCTCTAAAATTTAAATGCCTTGATCCAACTCTTCTTTTCTTGGTTATAAAAGAACAAACTAATTGGTGCTGTGAAACAATCTTTGTACACTGTAAATATGTGTTGCTCTCATTGTTAACAAAAAGCTCATTGGTCGATGGCCAATTGGGGGCAGAGAGAATGCTGGGAAGGAGGGCAGAGTCAGAGAAGTCACCAGCCCGATGGAAAGGAAGCAGGAGAGGTAAAAGCCATACGCCTCGGGGAAGCACACAGATGAATAGAAATGGGTTAATTTAAGTTGTAAGAGCTAGTCAGTAATAAACCTGAGCTATTGGCTGAGCATTTATAGTTAATAATAAGTCTCTGAGTGGTTATTTGGGAGCTGGCGGTCTTGACAAAAAAAAACTCTGCCTACAAACCAGCTTATTTGTCAGCTACTCTGGGCTGGTCTCCCACATGCTACAAGAGAATCCATAGAAACTGCTGTAAAAAGTAGCACAGGAGAATGAGTTCCAGCTACTTCAGAAGAACAAAGCATCAGTCTATGTCAGTTCTAATGGGATCTCACTTGAGTCTGGAGCATACAAATTCAAAGAAAGCATGCTTCTGAAGATTCAAAGCAGCCCAAATGTTACCCTACAAGGTAAAGGTGTTACTATACAAGTAACATCTTTGTTAGAATTGTTAAAGTACAAGAAGAGGAAAACCTTTGGTAATAAGGTCTAAGTCACAAGATAACCCACACAAGCAGACAGACATACCTGGATAGTCCCTGTCATTGGTCTTCCCATTGATGATGTCAGGGATGTCTTAGACTAATAAGCAGAAAAGCAAATTAAACCGATTCCTAAAACAGCTGCCTGTAACTTTACAAATCAAACTGCAGGCATTTCTCTTAATTTTTTCTTCACTCTATCTACCCATAAACACAAACAAATTTTTCCATTTGTCACTTAATAGTGTGGGATCAATTTGCAAACCTATTAAACAGGGGTCAGCACACACCACCATCTGCACTATAAGTATGGTTTGCTGGACTACAGCAAAACCCCACCCATTTACACACCGCCTGTGGCTGCTTTTGTATTACAAACACCACTGCATGGATACTTGTAACAAAGACCATTTGATCTGCAAAACTGAAAATATCTGTCCCTTCACCTCCTCTTACTGTGAAGCAAGACCAAATGTAAATCCATCCTCCTCAGGCTTCCTGTAGGAGGCTGCTCTCCTTACTCACGTAAAGGAGTGCTGTAAAGGCTAACACTCTGGGCCTCTGGGCTGTGAAGCCATTTTGCTGACCCTAGAGTACATGATCATAGAGATTAAAAAAAGCTACTCCACTTCAGTCTTTCATTTTTCTACCATTCTTTCTTATTTTATGTAAGTCAAAAATACTTATGTAAGTTAAGTAAAAGGATTATTACTCCTAGGGAATTTAGAGACTATTTCCCCCAAAGGGTAGATAAGATAAAACCCAGACATATATCCCTGAAACATTTTCTACAATTTCATCAGTTAAGTTCTTATAAACACTATTGTTCTTATGTAGCATCTAACTTCATGTAGAATTCATGAATGGAATACACACACAAGAGTTGGTTATATTATGTAGGAAACAGAAATCAACCGGCAAACAAGAAGGTCTACAAATAGAAAAGGAAAATAAAATATAGTTGTGCATAAATCAAACTTACTAAAATGTGCAAAGCTATTACTCAAATTAGACTTTTTAATACCTATAACTATATATCTAGGTCATGACTTGACAAAGCCTAAATTATTTAGAACAGCCTTATATGAACTTACACATATTTTAAGAAACATCTTAATATTTTCCACTTAATAGAACTTACCCCAGCCAGGTGGTGGTAACGCACGCCTTTAATCCCAGCACTTGGAAGGCAGAGGCAGGAGAATCTCTGTGAGTTCGAGGCCAGCCTGGGCTACAGAGTGAGTTCCAGGAAAGGCACAAAGCTACACAGAGAAACCTTGTCTCAAAAAACCAAAAAAACTATAGAACTTACCCCGTATCCAGTGGCTATGGGTCTGCTGACTGCTGTGCTTGGTATTTTAGCAGTTACCTTGGGAAGGAAGAGGAGCATAGTCAGCAATATTCAGATCAGGCGACAAAGCAGAAAATGCAGAGACTCAACGGTGAAGAAATGTTGTATTTGGTGGTTCTTCCCAGGGAAGAGCATACCAATTGGTTGTCTGATGCCAAATTGTTATACATGCAAATAACATTATACAGACTGAGCAAGTTATATTTAGGAGTGTGTGTGTGTGTGTGTGTGTGTGTGTGTGTGTGTGTGTGTGTGTGTGTGTGTACATACATGCATGCAATAACAATGAAAAAAAAAAGAGCCCATGAATTTGAAGGAGAGTGGGGAGGGGTATATGGAAAGGTTTGGAGGGAAGGGAAGAGAGAAATGTTGTGATTATATTATAACCTCAAAAAAGGGGAAATGTCATACTTAGAATGATTGCTTAAATACTAGGGAGTTCAGTTATTGAAAGTGCTCAGAAGGAGCCTCGGTTTGAAATTGATTTTAAAGGAAAGGGACTTGGGAATGATCCGAGCCCCTAATAAGCCCAGTTTTTATGCTTGCATCCACCATTCATTCAACACATGTGCATCCTTGGTGTTACAGCCACAGACCCCACTAACAGATACAGCTTTGGAGGCTACGGGATTTGAATCCTAGTTCTCCCTCAACTATATTTAATATCTTTGAGTCCAAATTCCTTCAACTTTTAAGTAAAAAGGATTCTGAGAGCAAAGGATACAAACAACACATCATATAATTGGAGCTAGACTCAAAAGGGACCATGTGAAAGTGACCTCAACATGCTAGCTGTTGGGAATAACTGAGTATCACTCAAAAAGGAATTCTACTTCTTGCTATACTGGACTGTTTTACCACGTCTTCCTACTGAGAACTACTAAAAAGGCTGCACAAAAATGTCTATTAAAAAACAAGTTTGGGATGGGCAGTGGTGGCACACGCCTTTAATCCCAGCACTCAGGAGGCAGAGGCAGGTGAGCCCCTGAGTTTGAGGGGAGCTTGATCTACAGAGAGAGTTTCAGGACAGCCAGGGCTACACAGAGAAACCCTGTCTTGAAAACCAAACAAAAACCAAGTTTGTGTTGGTCAGCTGGCTCAGTGTGTAAAAAAAAGCACTTGTCAGACAAACCAGGAGACTTGGTTTGTCTCCAGCAGAACCAACTCCAAGAAGTTGTCCTCTGACCAAGTGATACACACACTGTACCCTCCCCAAACACACTATAAAAATCTGTTTGAATGCATTGTAGAACTACTAAAGTAAGACATAAAGTCTTAAGATAGGAAGAAAAGGAGTCTGTACTGGGGCAGGTTTTTGGTTTTTTAACCATTTATTTTTATTTTATGTGCACCGGTGTTTTGCCTACATGCATGTCTGTGTGAGGGTGTCAGATCACTTAGAATTAGAGTTACAGACAGTTGTGAACTGCCACGTCGGTGTTAGGAATTGAACCTGGATCCTCTGGAAGAGCAGTCATTTCTCCAGCCCCTAGGGCAGTTTTTTTGTCCTCAAGGCATCTTTCCATTCCACAGGCAAGGCTGAGAAGCTGAGCAAAGCCCGGCATTCAAAATGAGGTAATATGTGTTGGAAGAGAGGGCCTGCCAGGGAGACAGCCCTGGTAATCGTCCAGGCTTTAGTGGGTCATCTCAAAAGGCTATACACTGAGGCCAGGAGGCAAGCTGAGAGACAAACAAATGGACAGCGATCCAGGAGGCACACATACAGTGCAAACACCAGACATGCACCGCCATGCTTAGTGAGTGCCAGGAGGCAGATCACAAGGCCAGGAGTTTTAGCAGAAAACTGAGAACAGTGAAAAAGGAATGAGCCAACGTGGTGCTGCACACCCGCGATCCTGGTTAACACAGGAGCAAGTTCAAAGCCAGCCTGGCCTACATGGTGAGACTCTGTCTCCAAAACAACCAAAAAACAGGAATAGGTGGCAATTACAGTTCTAAAAACAATGTAAAATTCTGCTATTGTTAGGAACTGGGAAAACTATTTATGTGAGCATTCATAAATTAAAATAGACCAAGAAAGAAAGAACACCTTTTCAACATTCAAAAGGAAGTTGAATCTTTATCATACACCACACATATAAAATTAATTAAAAATATATTAAAGAACCAAAATTACAAATTTCCTGAGAGAAAATATTAGCAGAAAGGCTCACAGTCTTAGCCTTGGCAATGACTTCTAGAACATGACACCAAAAGAATAAGCAATAAGACAGATAAACAGGACTACATCAATCCAAAAACTTTTGTGTACCAGAGACTATAATCAAGAACATGAAAGTAGCCCACAGAATGGGAGGAAAGCCCATTCCTGAACCACGTGTCCTGAAAGAGGACAACAAAGATTATAACGATGGACTAGAGAACATGTACTAAGTAAAATGAAGGGCTGGCTGAAGCCAACACGCAAATACTGCAGGATTCCACCGTGTGAGGGGTCTCGTAGTCAAAGGCGCAGAAAGGGAAATCTGAGCGGTAGCTACTGAGTGTTGGGGAAGGAAAAGCTGGGGGAGGGGCTGGTATTTAATAGGCAAGAGTTTTCAGTCTGCAAGAGGAGGTCATCCTGAAGCTCTGCCTCACGACAACGTACTTAGCACTACTGAGTTGGACACCTAAACATGACTGTGATGGTAAATTTTATCAATGAATCATTTCTGATTTGCTTACTGGAGGTCTTCTGCCATGACTGGTTCTCACCGCTTGCTGAAAACCTGTGTCATTCTCCAACTCCTAAAATAAAAAGGCAAAATTAACATAACATTCAAATGTGAATAAATGTGACAAACTTTAAACTCGTCTGGTTCATATTCAAGACCTCCTATAATTCATCTTACCCCAAAGAGAGACTACTGTCTTCAAGTTCTACACCCCTCATCTCCCAAATATCAAGTCTCCTTCTACCCCCTGGAATCTTGGAAAACATCTTTTTGCAAAAAGCTCGGCCAAAGTAGAAGAATAATTAATTGTGCTGGTGGGTGCCGTTGACTGCACATGTCCCAGGAAAGTCCTCAGTGTTTATGACTGAGAACTGTGTACTTATTCACCATTTAAAATAACCCAAACCCCTAAGAGGGTGGAGCCATCACCTGGCTATCTGTCAGATACTCAGACATGTCCTTTCCTCCTCCTCCATGGTGGCTGGAGGAGGGAGAGTCAAATCTCTTGCCTTCCCTCTCTCCTCTTCCCCTTTTTTCTTCATTCTCCCCTTCCCCTCCTCCCTCACCCTTCCCCTCTTCCGTCCTTTCCTCTTATATTCCAGGATCACACTACAGTCCCTATCTAAGGAAGCTGCAGGATGGAAAGGGCCATATTCTCTATAAGAAAGAAGGCAAATAATTTCTCTTGTTCCTTTTCTGTGTGTCCATGTAACAAGTGGAAACCTGCAGTGCAGGTGGGAACCAATGTCTCCATTGAAATAAACTTTTCTGACTCTTGACCTGCACTTAATTTCCCTGAGGAAGTCTGAGGAAAGGCCTGCTAGTCAAGGTAGGGTATACATGTTCCTGAGATATGTGGAATCCTGTCTTACCAAGTGCCTATCTTCTGAACGGCTCTCACTTCCTGCTTCTGGACTAACTTCAGATACACTGAACACAACCTCACACCTGCCTTTGATGTACTTCAGGCTGCTTCCTAAAAAGCACACTTGCTGCTGTGGTTTGGATTCGGCTTCTGCCTCCAGGGATTAAGGATAGAGGCTCAGCCCTCAGTGTGGTGGTGTAGACAGTGTGGATCTTCACGAGGTTGGGCCAGGCAGTGAGATTATTGCGGCTGCTGAGCTCAGACATGACTAATACTGTTCCTGAGCGAATGGGGTGTTGGAAGAGTAAGATGCCCCTCTCCACTATGGCTGTCTGTCTCACCTGTGATCTGTCTTTCCTGTAGACACTTCATCACGATGCCACTTACCATACTAATGGTAATATAGCCAAGTAAAATTTATATTACTAAGAATGGTAATTAAATGTGATACTGACGAGGATGAATTGATACAACTGTCCAATCTTGGATGTTCAGCCTCAAAACCGTGGCTTAAGTATTTTACTTTTCTACATAGTTCGAAGACTCAGGTATTTTGTTATAAAACACTTGAAAAATAAATATAGCCAATGCCTGTAAAATAGTCACTATCAATTAACTAGAAAAAAAAACTCTATATGGATAATCAAAACTGAATATCTACATAACCAAGATGTTAGTCCAAATAACTTTAAAACATGATTTTATCACATACAAGTTATATGTGATAATAGTATATATATATATACACATATACATCACATACATATATATCACACACAATATATATTCTTCATACTTATAACTTTATATCAAACTTACAAAATTAAATGTATACACAACTCTTAGTCACAAAAACTGGGAACTTTTATGTGAGTCTAAAGTCAAAGGCAGCCACCACCATAACTGATACCTTTATTTTGGCAGATCTTTGACAAAAAGATGTCTCTTAAGATCCCTAAACTAGTAGTAAAAATTGGACAATGGCCGGGCGGTGGTGGCACATACCTTTAATCCCAGGGATTAATCTCAAGAGGCAGAGCCAGGCGGATCTCTGTGAGTTCGAGGCCAGCCTAGTCTACAGAGTGAGTTCCAGGAAAGGCATAAAGCTACACAGAGAAACCCTGTCTCGAAAAAAAAATAAATAAATAAAATTGGGCAACTTAACTAAGCCAACAAGTTTAAAAAGATGGCCAATCAATGCTTCAATTACAAACAATAAATACCACTCGTAACTTTTTCTTTGTACCTTAATTATCAACTTGCAAATAAACATCTTAAGCAAATATCAAATGATTCAGTTATATACTGAAATATTTCTCCTTTTTTTTGGTTTTGGTTTTTCGAGAAGCCCTGGCTGTCCTGGAACTCACAGAGATCCACCTGCCTCTGCCTCCTGAGTGCTGAATCTGTTATTTTATTATTTATAACTATTTTACTGTTATTTGTTAGATTTTTTTTTATTATTAATTTTCTCCAATTCTCTAAATTTTGCTACTTTTCTGAGGAGTGCTCAGGTATGTGCTGCCACCCCCGGCTGCTGTCCTCACTTTCTGTAATGACCAGTACCACACAGATTTCCTCCATCCCTATTTCCTTCCCTTCTTGCTTCCTCTCTACATGTCACATTCACAGAGAGCCACTTTACACCAAAGTAAAAACTCCAGAAAGCCATGTGAAAAATTCTAGAACAAAATGAGAATGTCTAAAGTCCATATGCATTAGTATTTTATTCTTACACATTTGCAAATAAATTAACAACCACATCTTTCTTGTCTTTTCTTTGTTTTTGAGACAGAGTCTCACTATGCAGCTCTTGCTGATTTGGAGCCCACTACATAAACCAGGCTAGACTCAAACTCACAGAGCTCTGCCTGCTTCTGCCTCTCAGGTGTTGGCATTAAAGGTGAGTACTACTAAGCCAGATGTTTCGTTCTTTTACCCATTCTAGGTTAAGATAACTTTGATAAGGTTTTCTGTTTTGTTTTGTTGTTATAAAATTCAGAAACTGTAACTTTTATAAGAGATGTAAATAGGTGAAAATATCCAAATTTGTCTTAGTAGCAATTTCATCTTTGTAATTATTATAAAATTAAATATTAAACTGACATAAAGAAATACCAATACACAGCATGACCCCATATTATCAAAACATATATAGATACACATGTGTTGGCATAAGGGAAAATCTGGTAAGATAAGCACTGTAAGTTGGTCTGCAGAGTAACAGTTTCAATGTCTGTAATTTTTCCTCTATATTCATTTTGATTTGCTAATTTCTCTATAAAATACATGCGTAAAGAGAGAAAATCACTACATGGCATTTAGAAACTAGAGCACCGCAAAGGTGGTCTCTACTCTAAGGTTCTTGAGGATGGTGCTGGAGACTGAACCCAGGGCCTTGTGCATGCCAGGCAAGCACTCTATCCGCTGAGCTGCATTCCCGGCCCTGCGATCCCTGGGGACTATGACAGGATCTCGTATGTCAACACATCCCAAATTAGAAGACAGTGGAGACTGGAAAAGCCAAACAAACTGAGGCTGGAGAGATGGCTCAGGGATTAAGAGCACTTGCTGCTTTTGTAGAGGACCTGGGTTTTCTTCCCAGAACCGTGGCTCACAACTGTCTATAGCTCCAGTTCCAGAGGATCTGATGCCCTCCTCTGACCTTTGTAAGCACCAGGCATACACACGGTGCATATAAATACATGCAGGCAAAATATTCATACACATAAAACAAAAATTTTTAAATCCTTAAAAAACTTTTTAAATAAACAAAACCCAAACTGATCATAGGTATCTCCAGGTTACCCAAGCCTTTACTTATGCCGACAGCTAGTGCGGAAGAGTATATAAGAGCACAGCTATCCTGGTTCAGTCACGTGAGCTTCCTCATGATTTTGCCCTCTGCTGTGGCCACTGTCACTGGTACAAACAGGTTCTTCATTAACTACTTGCCTACTTTTTAATACTGCACTTGATCTGAAGCACATACAAAGCAAAACACAATTAAACCCAAAGTCTTCATAAATCAGCTGAACTGGTAAGAACCAGAAAGAACAATGTAAAAATGTTTTTACCTCAGTATCATAGGCTGGGTTGTAGTCATTAAAACCAGAATAAAGATCATCTTCATCTGTTTCTGGTGCCAGGTGCACATTTTCCATCATTTGTACCTATTAAAAAATCAGCAACATAAAAATGTTCCTGGTATAAGAATTCATTTTTCTGATGCTAGAAACTGAACCCAGAGCCTCATGCATGCTAAGCATGCTGCAAGCCACACCCAGACCTACAAAATAATTCTTAGTTCAAGCAAGTAACAGTGACATTCATTCATATTTTCCAAATTCCCCAAACTGTCAAAACACACCTCCACTACCCTCACTTCGTGTTTGTTCCACATCTTCTATGTAAGTGGCAGGCAATGAGAGGGGTAGTTGGTTACCCTGATTTTCACAGAGGTTAATATCAAGTACAGAAAGAAAATGCAGTAATCAATTAAAATATAAGGCAAAAACCATTATACCCCTGGCATTAGTGCTAATTATAAAGAGCAACAACTCACAAAGTCAGCAAGGACAGAAGGCAACCAGAATACCTATCTATCATTAGTGAGAGCATAAAATGTTACAACTGTGCAAAAAATCTGCTGCTTCATACTATTAATCTTTTATGACAGAATTCTACTCGAGTATTTTTGTAACAGAAATGAAAACATATGTGTACCAAAATATTAATGCAAGAACATTTATAGCAATGCTATTCCCAACAGCCCCAAATGGTCCGACCAGGTTCCCTACGACAGAATGGATGAGCATAACATGGCATATTTATGCAGGGAGTACTAGTCACAACTAGAAAATGCACAGCGACAAGTAACATGGAGTAGACACTGTGAGGAAAGAAGCCTTACAGAAAATAACACACTGGGCATTGTTTTACTTCTGTAAGTTCTAGAACAGACAAAACAAATCTGGAGGAAAAAATAGGACAACAGCTGCTTCTTGGGGCTGGGTGGTGGAGAGTGAATAAAAAGGGGCATGAGAGAATTTTCTGGAGTGACGATAAATGTTCTCTATCTTGACAAGGATTTGAGTCACACTGGCACACAACGTGAAAACTCAGCAAAGGAACTGGGAGTGTAACACCATGGTAGAGCATCTGCCTAGAAAATCCAGCAAATGTGTTCTTAGTTCAGCTCTTTGCAAATTTTACATCAAAAGAAAAAATCTAAATAAATGTCCAAACATAAGCCACATGCGGTGTATTCAGGGGGAAATTTACTTTGAAAAGTACAAAAAGAAGATATTGAGAGAGAGAGAGAGAGAGAGAGAGAGAGAGAGAGAGAGAGATGGATATATAACAAGGAAGTATAGAAAATGATGGGAGGCACCAGGTTGCAAGCAGAGTCACTGTAAAAAAGCTGCACAGTTGGAAGTCTTCCTGCTAAATGCTGAGAAAGCTGGAAGGTAGGCAGAAAAGCATGGCAATACAAAGTGGACTGAAGGAGAGCTGTGTGGTCACTGCACTCGTACACTCTAACTGACACACTACATGAGCATCTGGGAAGGGCCCAAAATTCTGCTGAAGTCAAGTCAGTATTTTAGGAAGACTGGGAGTGGTGGTGAGGAAGGTAGTCAAGAAATACAGCACTGGACTGCAATATCTAGCTAACTTGTATCTTAGGTGTGCCAGTAAATTCCAAAGAGAATTCCATACACTCGTATTGTTTGGCATACTACCAAGTTTATGTGGCTTCTTAGAACCTTTTGAATACTAAAATACTCTTTTGGGATTCATATACTATAAATCCCCCCACCCCATTTTAACCTGTATTTGCTTTCACTTTCTGCAGACTTCTGTCTGTAAGTTTCTGTTTCATTGTTTCAAAGATCTCCTGGGATCTTTCCAGTAGAGTCTCCTCTGCTAGCCCAGGAATAGCCTGTTTCTTTTCAGTTAGTGAAGATCACCTCAATGTGGCAGGGGAGCTTAGGCATGGGTCAACCCAACCATGAGCTCCAAAAGTGCAGCAGTGCACCTTGGGGGCTTTACTTGTAGATGTTCAATAACCAGAGAATCTGTATTTACACCTTCAGTTCAGAGGCCAGAAAAACGGCTTAGCAGACAAAGGTGTTTGCTACAGAAGCATGGTGACCTGAGTCCCATCCCCAGAACCCACATCAAGGTAAATAGAGGGAACAGACTTCATAAAGCTATCCCCTGACCACCACAGGTGGACTTGGCATGTACTCATCCTTCACCCTCATCATGCACACATAAATATAAACAAACCAACCTTTGGTTCTGTATTATTTGCATTCTTTAACATATGAACCAAAACTTCAGCCCTCGTTTTGGGCCACTGACCTTGGGTCAAGCCCACTGTTTTGCCTAGGCACACCTACCAACTCCACCACTATATCCCCAGAGAGGTGCGAACTGTTTCTTTACACTGACACCTTTCAAATACTTGGTGGCTCTTGTTTGATATGCCTACCTTTGATGACCTGGCCAGTTTCACAAGTGTTTTTTTGTTTTACTGTATTGTTTGTGTGTGTGTGTGTGTAGGGGGGGGGGTTGGTGGTTTTCTGTTTGTTTTGTTCTTTTTTGAGACAGACCCTGGCTGGCCTAGAACTAATTATATACATCAGGCTGGCCTCAAACTCCCCAAGATCTGCCTGGTTCTGCCTCTCAAGGGCAATGATTAAAGACACGTGTCACCATGCCCAATAGAACACTCAGACGTGAACCTCTTGGTTTGCATGGTTGTGTAGCATTTTCTGGGCCAATGTAATAGTGAACCATGTTCACTCTTTACTTCAGCTCTTTTTTTTTTTTTTTTTTTTTTTGGTTTTTCGAGACAGGGTTTCTCTGTGTAGCTTTGCACCTTTCCTGGAACTCACTTGATAGCCCAGGCTGGCCTCGAACTCACAGAGATCCGCCTGCCTCTCCCTCCCGAGTGCTGGGATTAAAGGCATGCGCCACCGCCACCCGGCTTCAGCTCTCTTAAAAGATCAAGACTCTCCCTTTTAAACTACCACAAAGGGCATGGTGGCAGTCTAAGGAAGTAGATGCTGAAGGCTCACGAGTTCAAGGTCAGCCTCAGCTACATAGCAAGTTAGAGGCCAGCTTAGATCTCAATAAATAAAGCATATTACTCATTGGGTTTCAGTATATTCGAAAGATGTACAACCATCACTGCTATCCAATTCCAGAACATTTTCTTCATCCCATAAAAACAAAAACCTGAGGGCTCTTAGGCAATTATTTCCCATCCTTCCTTTTCCCCACCCCTGAAAGCCACTAAACAACTTCCGATCCTTATAGATGAGCCAATTCCAGACATTTCATGTGCATGAAACCATATAGCATGCTGCATTTATGCCTAACTCCTTTCATTTAGCATGTTTTCAGGGTTCATGATGCAGTTTCATTATACTGCATTCTTTTTCATGGATCAATAATAAATTTACAACATTTGGCTTCTCTAGTCATTAGTAAAAGAACATCGGGTTAGCTCTACTTTGGAGCTTTTATGAATAACCCTGTCGCGAATGTTTATATGCAAGTTTTACATGAATATGCCTTCTTTTTAAAATGTATGTGTCTGTGTTGGGAGTTGGCCAACATGGGTGCTGGAAACTGAATCCAAGTCCTCTGGAAAAGAAACAAGTGCTTATAACTACTGAGCCATCTCTCTAGCAGAGTGTATGCTCAATTCTACTGGGCATATACTAAGGTATGGGATTGCTGGGCCATATAGGAAGCTTCTGGAACAGCTGCCCATTTTCTGAGCATAGTAATAAAATATTATACCACCCTAAACACTGCCACTTGGGATTTAATCATTCCCTTTCCATTGTATACACACTGTATAGGCTGCCTGCCCATTAGCCACATAGCAGCTATCTCAGTTATCAGGCTAATTTTTCTGGTATTGCAGTCCTTGCTATTTTCCTTATCATTGGTTTCAAAGCACAAGATCAGAGGTGTTGGCAATTCAAACATGCCAAAGAGAAGTTGGAAAGTATTTTCTATTTAAGTACCACCTCACTTTATTAAAGAAAGTGAATATAGAACAGCAAAAAAAAAAAACAAAGAGAGAGAGAGAGAAAGAGAGAGAGAGAGAGAGAGAGAGAGAGAG